TATGTGGCAAGAGTGGGCTCGAGATGAAGCTTCTATTTCAACTGGGTATGTTTTAGTTTTTTCATTTTGTGTTCTTGTTATTGGTTTCATGAGTAAATTTTGATCGCTTAGGGTTTATGGTTAAAGAGAGAAAGTATAAAGAGAAAAATTAAATGGATTTGTTTGAAAGGAGGAAGTGTTTATCTTTTGGGGTTTAAATGGTGAAGATGAAGTTTTGAGCTTTCTTCCTTTCTATTTTTTTTTNGGAAAATGTTAGAGAAGGGTTATTCTCTACATTTTCAAAACCAGGCCTGTACTATATTAGATGCTGAAGGAAATGAATTAATGTATATGAAAATGTTGGAAAAAAGCTTCCCGGTTGAGTGGAAAAACTCTAGCAACTTAGCCTTGTCATCTAGGCTAGAAGAATCTGAAATTTGGCACAAGAGACTTGGCCATTTTCACTATAATGGTCTCAAAGAGTTAAGGAACAAAAATATGGTTCTGGACCTACCTGAGATTGAAGAGAAGAAAAGCCTCTACAGTACTTGCCAACTTGGTAAGCTAAGCAGGCCACCCTTTCCTTTGGATAAGGCCTGGAGAGCAACTGGAAAACTCCAGCTGATCGATACTGATGTTTGTGGCCCTATGCAAACTGAAACCATGAGTGGGAGCAAGTACTTTGTGCTCTTCATAGATGACTTCACACGCATGACATGGGTATACTTCTGAAGCAGAAAAATGAAGTAGCTGCTATATTCAGAAAGTTCAAACTGCTCGTGGAGAATCAAGCTGGAACAATGATCAAAGCCATAAGGAGTGATAATGGAACAGAATACACATCAAAAGAATTCTGTTCAATCTGTCAAGAGGCTGGAATTAGGCACCAGTTTACCACTCCTTACACCCCACAATAGAATGGGGTCAATGAAAGAAAAACAGAACCATCATGGAGATGACAAGGTGTATGATGGTAGAGAAGAAGCTTCCCAAGAAGTTCTGGGTTGAGGCTGTCAATACAAGAGTCTATCTCCTGAACAGATTGCCAACTAAAGCAATCAAGAGCCAAACTCCCGTTGAGGCCTGGAGTGGAATTAAACTAGCATTGGGCAACTTGAAGACATTTGGGAATATATGTTATGTTATAGTTCCAACAAGCAAAAGAACTAAACTTGATGACAAGGCTGAGATAGGTATATTCATAGGATACAACAGCCAATCCAAAGGTTACAGAGTGTACATCCCTGAGTCAAAGAAAATTGTGATTACAAGGGATGTAAAAGTGGATGAAAATGCAGTTTGGAATTGGGAGGATAAGAAGTTTGATGTAGACTGCAAGCTGTAGCAGCCAACCGAGAATCTGATTGAAGAAGCTGAAACTGAAGAGGATGAAGAGCCTTCGGTTAGAGGGACTAGAACCTTGGTTGACGTATATGCAAGGAGTAATATGGCAGTGGTTGAACCAGAAGGTTATGCTAAAGCTGCTGAATTAGAAGCTTGGAGGAATGTAATGCAGGAAGAGATATCAATGATAGAGAAAAACAACGCCTGGAAGCTTGTTGATAGACCTGAAAATAGGAAAATAATCCAAGTAAAATGGATTTACAAGTTGAAGGTTAATCTGGATGGATCAGTCCATAAACATAAAACAAGACTTGTGGCTAAACGCTTTGCACAGCAACAAGGGGTGGACTTTTCTGACACATTTGCTCCGGTGGCTAGACATGACACTATCAGGTTACTTCTTGCTATGGCGACCCAATTTGGCTGGATAATTTTCCAGCTTGATGTTAAATCGGCATTCCTAAATGGCAGGTTGAGTAAGGAAATCTTTGTGGAGCAACCTGAAGGTTATCAAGTAAAGGGTGAAGAAGATAAAGTGTACCTGCTGAAGAAGGCCTTATATGGCCTAAAGCAGGCACCTAGAGCTCATGAATGATTATCTAAGCAGCCTAGGATATGTTAGAAGTCCTAATGAATACACACTTTATGTTAGGAAGACAGAAAGTAGACTGAAGTAGTTTCTTTATATGTTGATGACCTGCTGATTATTGGGAGTAATTCTAAAGAACTGAATTTGTTCAAGACAGCCATGAAATATGAGTTTGAAATGATAGACTTGAGGCATATGACTTACTTTCTTGGCACGGAGATAAGTCAGCCTCCAAATGGAATTTTCGTGTGCCAACAGAGGTATGCAAAAGAGGTATTGAAAAGATTTGGCATGGAAAGTTGTAAACCAGTAGATACACCTCTGGTTGCTAACCTTAAGTTGAGTAAAAATGATGGTGCAGAGAGAGCGGATGAAGGGAAATACAAAAGTCTGGTGGGCTGTTTGTTGTATCTCACAACTACTAGGCCTGATCTCATGTTCATAGCAANATGATTCTAAAAGAGTTCCTTGAGATTTGTGATGATAGAAGTAGCATCCAAATGCTCATGTTGCTCTTGTAGATCAAGTGTCAATGATCCCATTATTACACATTGAATAATCTCAACATCATCTAGATACTTTTGGTAAGTATCTCTTCCTTCCTGAGTATCCTCTAGTTTGGTACTTCCATAATAGGTTCATTAATGCTATACAACTTCTTTTCTTACTTTATTAGAATCCTTAGATTTCAATACCAGTCAGTGAAGTTCGTATCATCCAACTTGCTTTCTTTATCGATGATCGATCGTAGTGATAGGGTAGATGTAGTCATTATGAAAGTAAATCTACAAATGCAAAAATAAACAGAGTTAATACTATACTAATTAATAAGGTCTTTTATTAATCAATTACTCCTATTGTTTTACTCAAGCCCAATAGCCCTCACTATTAAACTCGAGAAGGCCTATTGGTCTTTCTAGTGGGCGAAATCCCGTCATTTCTATTTCAACCTTCACGGGTGTGAACAAGTTAAAAACAGAATGATTAGGTAGGTCAATAAAATTTAATCTACATCATGTAATAGCACCAACTATTAAACTCAAATGTAAATCAAGCCAACAAACCAATTACAGAATCCAACGGCATCAACCATCATCCTCAAGTGTAATTTTTGGATTAGTGAGTTGGACACTTCATGTCATCTTGTGCATCATTTAAATGCACTACTCTACTATGCTGTTAGTGTATTTATCAACCTTCGCAGAGGCTAACAAGCAAAATACACCTCGTTAAGTCAAACCCATCAGTATTAAGGAAAAACTCCAATGAATGATTAAGCTCCCACTGGTAAAAGTGTACTCTTCGCGAGAGCGAACAAGGCCACGACGAACAGTGGTTTGATTAATGCCATGATGCTGGAAGGCTCGTGGTTTAGATGAAAAATTTAATCAATAAACAACAAACGAATGTTAAATAAATACATAATGATCCATCCACTACCATTGAATAAGAGAAATTAATTGAAAGAATTAGCATGGCAAAACATTGAGAGAAAAGTTCAAGATTTTATCTCATATTTCATTAATTCTCTCGCAGAATATGATGTGTTGAAAAATTAGAACAGAAGAATCTTATACCTATAAATTTTTTCTCTCTTCTAATTGATTCTATCTATTATCGGAAGTATAGTCGCTAATAAACTTCAAATCCGACTTCGCTGCCTCGTGCCGCACCTCTAATAATAGTCTCTAATAAACAACATAAAAAGTAATCTTATAAATGAAGATGTTTTAACCAGAAAGTGATATGGACCTAATGTTGTTTGTTACAATACTTTAATCAGATGGTATTGAAAGAATAAAGAAGTCAACGAAGTTCTTAGTCTTTATCAAAAGAAGATTTTAGAAGGAATTAGGCCTAATGTGATTATAAATAACAATTTGTTAACTTGCCTTTTTCCTAAAACTAATGTAAAAGATGCACAGAAATTAGTTAGTGAGATGCACATAAATTAGTTGGTAAGATGCAACTTAATGGACACATAGCATTTTCATTGATGGACTTTGCAAGAATGGATGTGTTTCGAAAGAAGTGGAAATGTTTCATACTTTAGTAAATATTAAGTTTGTAGTTGACCTTGAAAGCTTGAATTCCCTTTTTGATAGATTATGTAAAACAGGGATATCTGAAACTGCTCAGTAGCAATTTTAGAAATTTCTCTCATTGAAAGCTTAGTGTCAAACATTGTTGTCAGAAATTTTGTAACTGTTTTTAGAATTTAGTTTTGATGGATACCATTGTTTCCAAATTTTACAAGCAATTGGGGTCATAATAGAGATTACAATGTTATAAGAAGCACATTCATAACAGAAGCTCACCTCAAACCGAAAAACACCTAAATGTGCATTTACATTTTTAACCTTCAAGTGAACAATTTTCAAAATCATTAAAGTGGTTTGAATAGGAAAGATCGATACTTTACATAAGTTTGCAATTTTGAAAACCTTAAAGGTTTTTTGTGAAATTTGTCTAAACATTTCTCTTGAATGCATTTGCCTTTTGCAATGACCTTACTTCGGAAAAAACGACCCACAAAAACACTCCTCATAAATGGCTTTGAGATTTAGATCCCCATTTCGTTCGTCTTCAATCTCTCAAAACCCATCTTCGAAAGTTAATGTTTTATTTTTGTTAGCTCACTTACACAACGTCACATCTTCAAGCTCCAAAAATGGAGTTTCGTATTCTTTCAAAAAAACCCTTTGAACGATCCTCACTTGCTAAATTCCTCGAAGAAAGCTGTCCATCAAGTAGCTTTACTCTGAATGAAGCATTGTACTTTTTTTATTACATGATTAATTCGAAACCCCTTTCTCCAATTTCATCATTCACTACTTTGTTTAGTGCACTAGCTAAGAATAAGCATTATGATGAAGTAATTTCACTTTATAAGCTATTGAATTCAACTGGGTTGTCTCTGGATTTTATATCTTTGAATATTTTGATGAATTACTTCTATAATATTGAAAGGGTTTTGGATAGTTTTTCGGTTTTTGGGGCAATTTTGAATAAGGGTTCTAGCCTAAATGTCGTGACTTTTAATTGTTTGATTGAAGGTCTGTGTGTAGAGAGAAAGATTATGGAATCAATGGAATTGTTTAAGCAAATGGTTGCTGTTGGTTGTAGGGCTAATGTGATCACTTGCAGCAATTTGATTGGTGGATTGTGTAAAATAGGGAAGATAAGTGTTGCCATTAAGTTGCTTGAAGAGATGGTTAATGGGAATAAAGAATATGGTGTTATTTGTAGGCCAGGTGTTGTTGTTTATACTACTATAATTGATGGTCTTTGTAAGGCTGGATTGGTTGAGAAGGCTAGATAATTATTTTTGGAACATATGATTCAGAGGGGTGTGGTTCCTAACATTTATACCTACAACATTTTAATGAACGGTTATTGCTTGGCAGATAAAATTGGAGATGCAAAGGAGTTGTTTGATTCTATAACTAGAAAGGGGTATACATCTAACATTGTTTGCTACAATACTTTAATCAATTGGTATTCCAAGAATAAAGAAGTCAATGAAGCTGTTAGTCTTTATTGAGAGATGGTTTCAGAAGGAATTAGGCCTGATGTGATTACATATAACACCTTGTTAACTAGCTTTTTTCTTATAGTGAAGGTGAAAGATGCATGGAATTTAGTTGGTGAGATGCGACTTAACGATGTTTTCCCTGATTCTTGGACATATAACATTTTCATTGGACTTTGTAAGAATGGATATGTTTTGGAAGCAGTGGAAATGTTTAATGCTATAATAATTAATAAGTTTGCAGTTAGCATTGAAGGTTTGAGTTCCCTCATTGATGGATTATGTAAAACAGGGAGATTCGAAACTGCTTGGGACTTATTTCATAAGTTTTCTCTTCATGGAAACCTGGTGCCAGATGTTGTAACATATAGCATTTTGATCAATGGGCTGTGTAAAAATGGACAACTAGAAATGGAAAGTGAGTTGTTGTCATATATGGAGGAAAAAGGTTGCGCTACAGATGTAGTCACATTTACTACACTTATGTTTGGTTTCCTCAAGAATAATGAGATACAAAAAGTTGTTGAACTCCTTCATAAGATGGTGGAGAGAAATGTGAAGCCGACTGAATGTAAAATATCCTTAGTCATGCAGTTACTAATAAAGGCCAAAAATTATAGTGAATGTTTGAATGAGCTTCCTCAATTTCTGGTCCAAAAGTGAAATTGAAGTTTACGTGATAAAACTTTACTGAGTATTAAACTTTTTTCAGAGCAGAATCCTGCAAAAGTTCATCCAACTGCCCAAATGCTCTATATTGGTTACGGTAAGGAGAAGGTTCAGTAAACACTTTTATCTGTTTGAATTTGATAAGGATGGTGATAGGGATGATCGAGAATGATAGCTTTCCTTATCAGACATGCGATACGTGATCTGTCTCTGTTGTAAGTACATATATTGGAGGTGGCAACATTGCAGGTTAAGTTGGGATTTGCACATGTAGTAGATCTTATGGGTTTGAGGATTACTTTTGGTGCAAATTTCAATAAGCAAAAGTTGTATATGAGGAATTGTGGAATGGTTCTTACTTCAACTATGACAATAATGGTAGCCACTCAAGTTCATCTATTCAAGCTAATCAGTTTACTGGACAATGGTCGGTTGACACTAATTAACTTCATTCATTGATATTCTCAATTATCCATGCCTGATAAATCTTGATTTATTTATAGCGTTTCACATGTTTCTATTTCTCAATATATATTCTTTTTTAGTTTAGATCTGATAAGACTAGAACTTACCAGGTGTGTCTCTAATGCAGTTGGTAAGTTGCATAATTTGAGTGTTTTTAGGGCTGATTTGGTGATAGTTTAGTTAACTTCTCATTTGTTTCCTTTGTTTTGATGTTTATTTTTGTTAAGTTTAGATATGAATGGTTACCTATTGATTTGGATAACTTTTGTGTTTTTCAGGCTTTGATTGAGTAGATTGGAGTATTGGAATGAAATTGGGACTTAAAGCTTGAAGAAGTTGAGACTACCTAACATTCCTGAAGGCCACAGCCATGCCTCGGTAGTTCACCAGGGCCATGGTGGTGGAACAAAGAGAAAACAAAGAGACCAGGAAGCACCACGACCTAGGCTGTGGTGACTTAAATTTGGCCACGGCCACGGTTGTGGCAAAAACTATTAGGACATTTTTATCAGTTTTTCTTTCCCTTTTCACTTAAGACTCTTTTAAGTATTTAAGTATAATTGAGATTAGTTGTCAAGGTATGAATTTTGCATATTTTTGAGAGGAGAAGACGCATTCTTGGGGCTTGAAAACTGAAGATCAGATTTAAGAGTTTGATTTTTGTTTCTTTTCAAGTCTGAATATGTTTTCCTTCTTCTCTATTTATTTCTTTGTTCTTAGGATGGAGTAAATCTCTTTTGTTAGGGGAGGATGAACCCTAATTATGTTTTGAACAATTTCTATTCTTAATACCAGATTTATGTTTATGAATTTGTGCAAGAGTTTAGGTTTAATGCTTTATGAATGTTGGATTGATTCAATTACCTTAATGATGTTTCGAATAGAGAAGTTAGGGTTTATTGCTTAATTCATATCCATAATTGTTTTGTTGGAATAACATTACACAGCATATTAAAATTAGAAGTAATCGAATAGAAATTCTAGGATTAATTTGTGGTCTATCTAATTCATAACCGAATAGGGCGAATTAGTCGTAAGGGATTGATGAATTTATGCTTCTTAATTTCAGAGTAACCGAATAGGGATCCGTATTAAGTTGAATATTATGATTGAATAAGGATAATTGGCCTTAGAAGAATCCTACCAATTCATAGCACAAACGGGTATTAAGAGTGGTTGTCAAGCATAATTTGGGGGAAATCTGTACTCTAACTTCATTAATACTGCAAAGTTCTTCGTATTATTTATTTCTTTAATTTAGTTATTTTTTTTAATCCTTTATTTTTACACTTTAAACTTTCATTTTCTCCGATAATGTTAGGTAGCTTTAGGTAATTACAAATAATTGCTTTGATCTCTCTGGGATGATACTCAACTCATCACTTTATTACTTGAACACAACTAGTGCACTTGCTAAGGTTGATTTAGTCACATCAAGTTTTTGGCATCGTTGGATTGTTTGTGATTATTTTAAGATTACCTGTTACTTTGAGATTTTTTTTTTTATTTTTTTTGTTTTTATTGGAAACCAATAGGTGTTTCTGCTAGTGTATGACCAAAGCCTCTGGAAAGATTTTACTGGCATTTGATCCTGAGATAGAGTGCATTTTTCACACAAGAAAGAGAGCAATCAAAAGGGAGATCATGGGTGATTACGATAACCCAAATAATGGAACACTACCAATAACTTGTACACTAAACAAGTTCTCTACCCCATCTCTAAATGGAGCGACATCGAGCATTCGACGACCAGTGATCAATGCCAACACCTTTGAGATAAAGCCAGCAATCATCCAGATGATTCAGCAGTTAGTGCAATTTGGTGGTTTGGCACATGAAGATCCTAACTTACATGTTGCAAATTTCCTGGAGATTTGTGATACTTTTAAGCACAATGGAGTTTCCAATGAAGCTATAAGACTAAGATTGTTCCCATTTTCATTAAGAGACAAAGCTAAGAGTTGGTTGACCTCATTACCAGTAGGCTCGATTGTGACCTGGGAGCAGATGACACAAAAATTCTTCAATAGGTATTTTCCTCCTGCAAAGATTGCACAATTGCGTAATGATATTACTATGTTTGTGCAGGTGGATATAGAGTCCCTATATGAAGCATGGGAAAGGTTCAAGGACATGCTCCGGAGATGCCCCACCATGAATTATCGGTTTGGTTGCAAGTCCAGATGTTTATAATGGTCTTAATAGTGAAGCTTGGAATATGATCAATGCTGTTGCAGGTGGTAATTTAGGTAAGAAGACACCAGAACAAGCTTATGAATTGCTAGAGGAAATGGCTTCAAACTCTTATCAATGGCTGACAGAGAGGTTGCCTGTGAGAAGAACATCGAGTGTTCATAAAATAGATGCTATCACAGCTTTGGCAGCACAAATGCAACATTAAATAAGAAGATTGATGGACTTCAAATGCAAAAACATGCAATAGTTGCTTCTATGTGTGATTTTTGTGGCAAAGATCACCCTAACCATGACTGTCAATCAGGTAACATGTTTAATGTTAATTCTATGCCTGATCAAGCTAACTATGTTTCAAATTGTCACAGGCCTAATAATAATCCATACAGTGAAACATATAATCTGGGGTGGAGGAATCACCCAAATTTCTCTTGGAGTAACAACAATCAAGTGAAACCTCTACCGCCAGGTTTTCAATCTCAAAAGAACAAATCAAATTTAGAGGAGATGATGGCGAAGTTCTTGAGTACTACAGAGACAAGAATTCAGAATCAAGAGGCTTCCATCAAGAATTTAGAAGCTCAAATTGGCCAATTGGCCAATATCATTTCGAGAAGACAGCAAGGGCATTTATCGAGTGACACAGAAAAGAACCCGAAGGAGCAATGTAAGGCCATAACCTTGAGGGATGAAAAGGTGATTGGTGAAGAAGAGTCGCAAAAGAAGGTGGAAAGTGAAGCTGAGTTACCGGTCTATATTAAAGAAAAGAAAGTGAATTCAAAAAAAGAGACAGAGACTAAGGTAAAGGAAATTGCAAGAGGTAAAGGAAAAGGTACATCAAATTATGATTCTATTGTTGTTGAAAAAGATGTATCTAAATTTCCTTATCTCGATAGAGTTAGAAAGGATAAACTAGATCAACAATTTTCAAAATTTTTAGAGGTCTTTAAGAAACTACAAATAAATATTCCATTTGTTGAAGCCTTAGTGCAGATGCCTAGCTATGCAAAGTTCTTAAAAGACATCCTTTCTAATAAGTAGAAGATCGAGGAGCATGTAATAGTTGTGCTTACTAAAGAATGCAGTGCCATACTGCAAAATAAATTACCTCCTAAACTGAGAGATCCAGGGAGTTTTACTATACTTTGTGCATTAGGAGATTCATTCTTTGATAAAGCATTGTGTGATTTAGGTGCTAGTGTTAATTTAATGACTTTATCAATTTTTTGGAAGCTAGGACTTGGAGAAGTGAAAGAGAGAAACATGTCACTTTAACTTGCTAATAGATCAATCAAACGACCTAAAGGCATTGTTGAAGACATTTTGTTAAAGGTCGACAAATTTATCTTTCCAGTGGACTTCATAGTTCTTGATATGGAAGAGGACTGGAAGGTGCCTCTAATTTTAAGACGTCCATTTTTGGTGACAGCTCATGCTTTAATAGATGTGCAACAAGGAAAATTAATTCTAAGACTAAATGATGAAGAAATAGTGTTTGATGTCAATAAAGCAATAAAAAAATCCTACTGCATTTTATATTGAATCTTCTTTTCACTCTGACAGTTTTGGTAAGATTTTAGGTGATCACAAAGAAGTTCTGCAGGAGGACTCTTTGGAGAGATGTCTAATGGAGTCGAGCACAACAGAAGATGAAGACCCGTGCTTGAGAGAAGAAGCTGAAGCACTAAAGAATGAATCTCCAACTGATAACAATATGGAGCTAAAGGAGATTTGCATAAAACTACTAATGAGGCTCCTAAACTTGAACTTAAATCTCTTCCTTCACATTTGGAATATGCTTACCTGTGATTATTTCTGCATCTTTGACAGATTTGGAGGAGAAGTCACTACCTGTGATTATTTCTGCATCTTTGACAGATTTGGAGGAGAAGTCACTACTATACATTTTGAGGAAGCACAAGAAGGCTGTGGGATGGACAATTGCTGATATCAAGGGAATAAGCCCTTCCATCTGCATGCATAAGATCCTTATGGAAGAGAATTTCAAGCCAACAATACAACCACAGAGGAGATTAAATCCTACCATGCAAGAAGTGGTACGAAAGGAAGTGGTAAAATTACTCGATGCAGGTATTATTTATCCTATCTCTGATAGTAATTGGGTTAGTCTTGTGCAAGTAGTGCCTAAGAAAGGGGGAATGACTATAGTGAAGAATGAAAATAATGAGCTTATCCCCACTAGGATGGTAATTGGATGGCGTGTGTGTATAGACTATAGAAGATTGAATTCTGCCACCAGAAAAGACGATTTCCCATTGCCATTTATTGATCAGATGTCAGAGAGATTAGCAGGTAATAAATTTTACTGTTTTCTTGATGGCTATTCTGGTTATTATCAAATTCCTATTGCTCTAGAGGACCAAGAGAAAACAACATTTACTTGTTTATGGCACGTTCGCTTATTGACGTATGCCATTTGGTTTATGTAATGCGCTAAC